TAAGTCAAGATTTTTTCTAAATTTTCTTTTTCTAGATTAATTAATATACCATCTATTGTTTTTAATCCTGTTATACTGCTATCACCTGAAAAAAAAAAGATGAGGCAGTGGTGCTAGATAAAGAACAAATTATATGGCTTAATTCATTGCAAAAATATGTGCACACGTGTAATGGTGGAATTGATTGATCGATTAGCTAGTTAGTTAGTTACCTTCAGGTCGATTATTCATAATTTGCTTGAATAAATTTAATAATCTATGAGGTTGATCCAAACTAATTGCAAGCAATATGGCATTTTTGTAATCTTTTTTTTGTAAATAGTTTGCTAAATCTTGCTCTCTATAAGATGAATAAAAAATTTTTATACACACATTTCAAAATAAAAAAGCAAACACAAAAGAGACAATTAATTACATACTTTAATATTAATTCTTCTTCTTCTTTAATTTTAATTTCCATTTCTTCTTCAGTAACATCTTTCCAAATATTAATTAAACTATCAGCACCACCTGAAATTATCAAATTTTCATTTTTATTAACAGTCAATGCCCAAATTTTTTCAGTGTGATTATCAAGTGTATTAATACACTCGGTTGTCTTATTCAACCAAATTTTTATCAATCCATCTGATCCACATGAAACAACTTGTGAACCTGATGTGATGAACACGGATCTCAATACTGTGTTCTGATGGCCTTCAAAAGTTTTCAAACAAGTGAAATCATTCAAATTCCAAATTTTTATGGTTTTGTCACCAGAGCTTGATAATAAGGTCTGATCCATCCTGGAGAAATCAATAGACCAGACACCACGTTTATGTCCTAAACATTTACCAACCAAATTACCATCTTTTGTTGACCATATCTTTATGGTTTTATCTTGTGACCCTGTTGCAAATATTTTCTCATTTGGTGAAATGGCTATTGTGTTGATGTCTTTATCATGTGCATGATGAGTATAAAGAGACTTGGGTTTATGGTTTTCATCTGGATCTGATTTATCTGTTTCATTGACATTATATATATATATATAT